GGACAGGGAACCTAGGGGCTGACTTCAGAGGCAAGGGCGGGGCAAACAAGCAAGGGCTGCAGAGGGAGAAGGGCAGGGCAGGCAAACAAACTGAAGCCAGCGAGGTGCTGGGGTAAAGGGGAGGGCAAAAAGGCTGCAAGGGGCAAAATGGGGCAGGGAGCAAGGGACAAAGCTGGGGGTTGCTGAAGGGGGGTCAGTCCAGGATGGGGTGAGGGGGGGGCACGTGCGCCCACAGGCGCTTGCAAAAGAGTCAGTGTGGGCTGGCTGCTGCTGCAGGCCCAAAAGGTGGTGAAAGGGGGCAGCAGGCCAAGCAAGCAGCGGAGTCCCAGAAGCAGGAGCTTGAGGCAGATGGTAAGTGTCCACTGGGGGTGGTGGAGGGGGCAGCTCCAATGGTGGTGGTGGTGGTGGGGGGACACACTGATGGACTAGGGGGCAGGCTCCAAACCACACCCCCTGTGTTCCCACAAACACAGTCAGGACCCCCACCACAAGAGCACAATCCAAAAGTTACTCAGCTTTCAAGCCCCCTCCACAGTGGTCTACAGAGTCCTTGTGTGCTCCCCCAGCAGCAGATGGCCTCGTCCCCTCCCCCTTCGGGGTCCGGCAGCTCTCAGGCAGCAGCAAAGGCAGCAGCAGCAGCTCCAGGCAGCAGCCCGGTGGCCAGGCAGGCAGAGAGGACCCCTCACAGGTGGTGTTGATGGTGGTGGTGGTGTCCACAGCAGCACTAGCAGCAACGGCTGGGGTAGGGGTCCCTCACTCCCTCCTCTGGGGAGCGGGCCAGCAACCCCCCAGAGAGGCTGTAGTTGGAGCAGTAACAGCAGCACCCAAAGGTGGGTGGGTGGGGGAGTCCAGCAGCTAGCCAGCAACCAGGTAGCAGAGAAGCGGGGTGAGTGGATGGCATCCGGCCTGGCCAGGGGAGCGGGGCAGTGGCGGCAGCAGCAAGGGCCCACGGTCCAGCAACAGGAGCAGCAGTCTCCCTCCTCCCTCCAGGCCAGTTGGGTTCAGTAGAGGAGCTGAAGACGGGTCTACTGGCCACTGGATGAACAGGGTTCTGTTCCCTGACTGACCAGAGCAGGGGTTGCTCCAGGCTAATGAGAACACCTGACTCCAATTAACCTGCAAAGAGTCAGGTGAGGCCATTAAGCTAAAATGACCACCTGACTCAAATTATTGCCCCTCTGATAATATAAAAGGGCTCACTCCAGTCAGGCAGAGAGGAGTAGAAGTGCAGCTGAAGGGCTGGTTAATGAAGACACCTGCAAGTCATTGGTAAGGAAGAAGCAGGAGAGCTGTGGGGAAGTGGCCCAGAGAAATGTAGCAACTCTGGCAGTAAAAGGTTGGCTGCCAACAACTGCTGCCATTAGGGTCCCTGGGCTAGAACCCGGAGTAGAGGGTGGGCCTGGGTTCCCCCCAACCCACCACTAAAGAAACACCTCCTGGGAGGGGAAAACAGGCCCCTGTCAGGTCAGGAGGCTAAACTGTTTTGGCATGAGGCTGTAGGAGTAACAGAGACTGTGGGAATTCTCTCACCAACCTCAACTGCTGTCTTATGACGAAAAGGGCTCAGTAGACTGTATCCCTGGCCCCAGAGAGAGAACAGCTATGTGGAAGGTTGCAGTAAGCCTCTGAAGCTAGCATAAACTGCCTGGAAGCACAAGACCCACCGGGACAAGGTCGGAGCTCTGCCACAACTGGTGTCAAAAGTGGGATATGTGATTGTTCACATTGTGGCAGAACAAAGAGGTTTTTTTAAAAAAAAGGGCATTAGGGTTTTTGGTGTTGGGTTTTTGTTTGTACCACAATGGAGGAGGTGGTGAGAGCATTGGCGCAAGCCACAGCGGCCCGGCAGGAGGCAACCTGGGCTCAGGCGATGGTGCAACGAGCGTGCATGCGGCTACAGCAGGAAACTAGCCAATTATTAATGAGCCAGGCGACCCAAGATCTAGCCCTCCTGCGTGAGGTAATGGACCAGCTGAAGATCCTCACCATCCAGGCCCGGGGGTCTGATGGGACCCAAACCCTGAGGGCCACCGGTTGTCTACCAAAGATGACAGCAGAGGATGAGGTAAAGGTATATCTCCTCTCATTTGAGAGGTCTGCTCAGCATGAGGCATGGCCCCAGGAACAGTGGGCCAGCATTCTCGCCCCTTTTTTGTGCGGAGAGACCCTGAAGGCCTACTTTGATCTACCCACCAAGGATGCTGCTGACTATTCCTGGCTGAGACCAGAGATCCTAGCACAATCAGGGGTGACGGCAGCGGTACGGCCCAGAGGTTCCAGGAGTGGAAATACAGGGAGAATAAACTTCCGAGGTCCCAACTATTTGACTTCATACACCTAGCTCAGAAGTGGCTACGGCCTGAGGCATGCAGCCCAGAGGAGATTTTGGAGACTTTGGTAATGGACCCTTACATGTGGGAACTGCCGCCAGATCTCCGCAAATAGGTATGCCAGAATGATCCATCCACCTGCGATGAAATGATCACATTGGTGGAAAGACGGATGACGGCCAGAGAATTGACCCAACTCCCCAAGGAAGGCCCCTCACGAAGCACACACTCGACCCTGACCCTTGAGGGTTGGGTGGCCAAATCCCCAGGGAGTCCTAGGTGGAAGAAGAGGGGGACCGAAAACCAGCAGGGAACCCAGAAGGAAGGAAAAGGCCTGAGTGGGGGGGACCCTGGGACTAAACCCCCTAACCCACGTGATAGGGGAGTGACTAGAAGTTATTATCAATGTTACGGGTGGGGGGAGTTGGGGCACATAGTGGCCCAGTGCCTCAAAGTCATAGAGCCCATGCAGTGTAACCTGGGGGACAGGGCAGACCCATGCAGCCTACTCCATATTGTAGGGATTGCAGTCACCCCACATAAATATACAAGGCAGGTAAAGTTGAATGGGGTAGAAACCATGGCATTTGTAGACTCTAGGGTGATATCACTCCCTATTTCGCGTAAATTAGTGAAGTGTAGCCAGTTAACGCAGGCTAGGCATACGGGGGTAATCTGTGTCCATGGGATTGTTAGTTACTACCCCATCATACCAGTGAAAATTGAAATTCAGGGAAATGTCACCAGGGTGAAAGCAGAGGTATTCCCAAACTTCCCATACCTCGTGCTCATAGGTAGAGATTTCCCTGGGTTTGTAAACTTCCTCCCAGCGGAGGAATTGGAAGGAGAGGAGCTCCCCAAACTTCAGGAGGCTTCCACGGCAGAATTTCACCTCCCATTTTTTGCGGAAATGTTCCAGGAGCTATTCCCTGTCCCAGGGAAAGGCAGGAAGACCAAGAGAAAAAGAAGGGCAGCCAAGGCCTTGGGTACCTGAATCCTGATACAAGGAGACTCCCCAACTCCCTATGGCCAGAGGCCCCCCCCCCGGACCCACTATCCCCAGCGCCCCTCCCAGACCCACCCACAAATGCACAGCACCCTCCACAGAACTCCCACTCCCTAATGCCCCAACACACACAGATCCTCCTCGCCCCTCACAACCCAGCACCCCCCCCCCGACCCTCTCCCCCAAGCTCTGCCTCCCGGCTGCACTCACCAGCCCTGCTGGGAGGTGACTGTCTGCGGGGCTGAGCCGGCAGCACAGCCAGGGCTGGGAATCACTCCAGCCACTTGGGAGTGGCATGATCAACTAGGCCAGGACCTGCCCCGGCCGGGGTCCCTCAAGATGCACTTGCCTGGAGGGGCCCAGCCAAGCTCCGCACACTGTTCTCCCCTCTCCCCCTGCCCCCACATGGCTGAGACTGGCCAGGTTTCTGCACCAGTCCCAGGTGGCTCAGCTCTGGGGAGACAGGTGGGGCCCCACAGGTGGTGGGAAGCAGAGACTGCCCGGAGCCAGAGGTGCACTAGGGGCCAGCCAGGGGGCAGAGAGGAGCCCTGTGGGGCCAGGGGGCAGAGAGGAGCCCTCGGCCAGCCACAGGCAGGCCGAGAGGAGCAAGTGGTGGGCAGGAGGAGCCAGCAGGGTCCCATGGCACAATGCAGACAGAGCAGGCCGGGGCCCCTTCTGAGCATGGGCCCAGCTCCATGGAGCCATTAGTCCTTTGCAAACCCGGCACTTCTCCCAGGCACTTCACCTATGGCTCAGGTTTTAACAGGTGTGACTGTCCTAACCTGAGTGGAGCAGCCATACAGCTGACCTCTGGGAAACAGAGAGAGGAGTGACCGAGAGTACCCCAATCCAGGTCCCACTGTTGCAAAATGTTTTTCCTGTTGTAATTGTGAAAACTAACTCTGTTCCTGTAAGGCAGGGGGTGGGGGTGTCTTCCAAGCATTCGGGTGAGACAGCTTCAGCCCTGCTCTTTCCCTTCCCTCCCCACTGCCTCCAAGCCCTCTCCATGGGGCAGTGGGGGGGGGGGGGGGAATGGAGCCCCCCTGGGCTCCCTGCTATTTCACTGCCACAGGCCCCTCCCTGGCTTATGCAGCTCCAGCAGGAAGCAGCAGGCAACTGCCTCCATGTATCTGCAGGAGATGGCTGCGTGGGGGAGTACACTGGGTGAGTAGCTGCTAATGAGGCAGCTTCAGTCCCTGCTTCAGACAGGTGTAATAACGTTCCTGAGGGCAGGTGTGAAGGCCCAGCAGAAGCTCCCTCGGGTTCCCAAAGAACAACTCCCCAAAGGGGAACCTCTAGACAGTGTGGGCATACATGCTGAACAGAGGGCATGGCTTCAGGACCTGGGCCCACCTGCTAGATACAACCACCCCAAGGCTAATCCTGGGGGAAATGCTGCCTCTTTTCTAATAAACCCATACCTGCTAATAGGGTGAGACCGTACAGGGTATGAGGGTACAGTCAGACAGTCTCACTCATGACTCATCTGAGCAGTGAAAAAGCAGCCTGCTCTCAGAGCTGAAGGTCTGCTCTCCTGTCTGCTGCAGCTCTCCACCATACTGACACTACAGCGAGAGAGCTGTAGGTGCTGGATGAAATATTAGTGGGAATGCACAGCAGCACGTGCAGCTCCAACTCACAAGCCACACAAGCATCTCTCTTACCTGGCTGCCTTGGAGTAAAGGGTGCTGGTATATGGAGAACCTGTCCTTCCCAGACTCCTCTGAGGTTGGGCTGGTGGGCTTGGGGTCAGAGAAGGATCTCTGCATGGTTTTGATGGGGCGAGGCAGGGTCTGCTGGCGCTGGATAGAGTCAGCTGTGAAATGTTTCTGTGGTGTCACGTGAGCCTTGTTAAGTCTTTCACTGGCAGTGAAGGAGGATTCCAACAGCCGATGGGGGGATAGAGGAGAGACAGGGGAGTAGAGTACCTGGGGGGATTTGGGAGGTTGGCAGGTCACTAGCTGAGAAAGGGACTCTGCGGGCAAATGGGATTGGTACCCAATTTCCAGAGGATCGGGCTTCTTCTTCTCAAACTTGCCAAGGGCCTGCTGCCGGATGGCACGTGGGTCCAGGGGGCCTGTGCTTACCAGCTGGAGGTTGGAGGAGTAGGGTGTTATGGTTGTAGGCACAGTGAGCTGGGGGACCACGATACCTGGCTGCGGCTGTGCTTCCAGCTCAGTCTGGCAGGCCAGGCTCTCCCCTCGCTGTGTCTTCTCTGGTGCAGAGATATACTTCACGATCTTCACTTTGGGGTCAGGGGTGGTAATGTGGATGGAGGGCGAAACGCGGGGCAGCTGGTCGGGCTCAGTCTGTACAGAGCAGTCACTGCTGGTCTGGATGCCTATGCTGGCCATGCCTTTGGAGGAGGAGTCTTGCTTGCTCTCAGAGCTGGAGTCTGAGTGCCGGGAGAAACGGGATCGCCGCCGGCGCACCGGCTGCTCCCACTCAGCATTGTCCTCCTCGTCAGTCTGCACGCTGCAGTCGGTGCTGCGCCGGGAGCGCCGGCGCCGAGACAGGAAGTAGCGCTCCTCACCGTCCTCCTCATCAGTCTGCACGCTGCTGTCCGTGATCTTCTTCACCACGTAGGGCTCGTGGGGGGTCTCTTTGTCATACGTGTCCCGCAGGCGTGGCATGGAGTTCCTCTTCTTTATCCCCTGGCTAGCTTCCCACTGCTCCTCAGGCTGCAGGGATATTTCAGAGGTAGAGTTGGTGAGTGGGCGCTGGAGCCCGGAGTAGCGGGATGGTGCTGGCCCTTCCTGCCCTGGGACTGCAGGAGCCATGAAGGGCTGGTTCAGGGGGGGCCAATACTGACCATTTTGGGCCAGGGTCCTTTGCATTTCCATGGCTATCTCAGACACGGCCTGGGGAGGGATCCTTCCTGTGGGGTCACACACAGGGGGGAAGGTGCTTTTCTGCCTCTTCTGCTCCTCTAGCTGCTGTTGCAGCTGTTGCTGCAGGTGCTGAATCTGCTCCAGCTGCAGGCGCTGCTGGGCCAGCTGCTCTCTCTGCAGGGCAAACTGGGCCTGGCGCTCTTCTTGCTGCTGCTGCAGGACCTGGTGCTTTATGGACTGCAGCTCCTGGATCTCCCTGTGCACCAGCATCTGCTCCTTCTCTCTGTGTCGCTGAAGCTCCACACGCTCCCTCTCCAGCTCCTCGTGCAGCCTCAGCTGCCTCAGTTTCTCCAGCTCCACCCTCTCCCTCTCAATCTGGAGGATGTGCTCCTGCTGCTTTCTCTGGCGTTCCTCTTCCTTCTCCTCTCGCTCTGTGCTGCCTTTGCTGGGGACGCTGGCCTGGGATACCTCGGCCTGCTGGGTTTGGACTGGGGGTGGTGGCTGCTGAGGCTGACTGGCCTCTTTTGAGGCACTTTGCATGCCAGCAGCTGCCATGGGCACCTCCTCTCGAGCACCAGCTCCTGTCTGCTCAGGTCTTTGCAGGTTCATTGCAGTAGGAGCTGGTGCTTTGGCAGCAGACACTGGGCTAACATTGCTTGCAGCCGTGCTGGCTGCAGTAGTGCTAACAGGCTTCCCCAAGTACATGGGCATTTCCATCACTGAGGTCGTAGAAACAAACGGGAACCTGCTAGGAGCTGAATAGCGATACAGGCCTTGGGTAGCAAAGGGGACCCTTGGGGTAACTAGAGGCACTCTGGTCAGGCTGGCCAGAGGGACCGCTGTGATATTGCCTGGGGTGTAGGGTCGATATAAGCCTCGGAGCATTGGCCGCAGCACAGAAGCTGGCTGGGTGGTGATGGGAAGGGTGGATGCTATGGGAGTATTTATTGTGGAATAAATCATGCCGTCTGCTGCCCGCACTGTGGCTGTGGAAGGGAAGATCTGCCTGACAGCTCCCAGCCGGGCACCGGAGAGACTGTACTGGCGTGTCTCTGGGAAGTTGGGATTGTACATATTGTTCGGTTTGATGGCAGAAATGCCTTGTGGTGCTGAGATGCCACTGCCCCCTGCTGGCCCATACTGCAGGAGGTCAGCGCTGTTCGAGTGCCTAGCCCCATACTGGTCCATGGAATTGAGTGCTGCGCACATGCGGCTGATTTCCCGAGCTGTGGTGGCACTGTACTGGGCCAGACTGGATTCCTGGAAATTTGCCAGGTCTCCTCTGGGTGAGTACTTGTAATCGGAGTAGATATTGGAGGCTGAGCTGTACCGTCTCATTGGGAGCGAGTGGCTTAACAAGTCTGTGGGCTGCCGGAGGTCCGAGAACGAGCCGTACTGCATTCCCTGACCCAGGTAGCCCCCCTCAGTGAAGCTGATGCTGTAGGAATGTTTCATTGTGGTCAAATCCACAGCAGAGTCTCCTGAAGGGGAGTGGAAGGGCTGCTCCGCCTTCGGGGGGTAATAGTTCAGACCAATTTCCGACAGATTTGTATCTGACATGGATGAATACAGCCTCCCAAACAAGCCTTGTGGGTAGAACCGCTGCTCCTCGTACAGGCTGGGAGCAGGGCCTGTTTGCTCTCTGTAGGGATATGTCTCTGGCAGGTCTGGCTCTTTGTTTCCATAGTACTGAATGCTCGGTTTGCCAGTTTGAGCAGCATCCCCAATGTTCTTCTCCGGGATCTTGGGGGAGGGGTTGAAGGTACCTGTGCAGCTGCTGCCAAAGGGGAATTTGTACACTACATCACAGCATGCCACCTGGCTTTCAGGCTTTATCCCAGTGAGATCCAATGCACTGGCAGGTGGTGGTTCTTTGATCAGCTTTGTTACTGGGACTGCTGCTATCTCATTCATCTGCACCATCATGGTTTGGGACTTTTTGCCTCCCAGGTTGATTGGAGGACTCTGGGTTTTCAGTCCCACTGGCACCCCTCTATATAGGTCTGTGCTTTGGTCCTGAAGAATTGGCCTCGGACTGGTGCTGATACTAACAGCACTCTGGGCGCTGCTAGTCTGACTAATTAGCACATCTTTCTTCACCAAGGACATCATCTGGTTAGGCAAATTATATCTTGCAAATTTGGTTTGCTGAGGACTGGCCGTTTCCGGCTTTGTGCTTGGTACAGAAATGCCAATGCTGCTCATGCTCCCTCGGAAAGTGCCAGTCTGAACTGCTTGCTCTACCTGCTTAACATGAGTCAGACAGACTGGACTTCCTGCCCCTTGCCCAAAGTCCATCCTGTTCTGGAAAGGATCTCCATAGACCAAAGGCTGCTTGGGTTGTGACACGAGCATGGAAGAGTCGACAGTTATGCTGACTGTAGTAGTTGTGCCTATAATAGCATGGGGTTGTTCCTGAGCATTGAGGTTAATGATTAAGGGTTGGACGGTTGTGGATTGCCTACTTGGGGTCTGTTCCAGAGTGAGGCAATATCTTCTGCTCTCTGTAGCTAGGGAAGTGAGATCCATGCCTTGGTCTGTTATGATGATTGGGCCTGACTTTATAGCAGTCCGTAGGTCCACAGCATTAGTGGTCTGTGGCTTGGGTCCAGGTTCTACTCTGGACGTGCCAGGGATTGATGATATTCTACACAAGGAGATGTTTTCTGCAGGCAGGGGTCCCCAGCTGTACACACCAGCAATGCTGTCAGCAACAGTAGTGGTGTGCCCTTTCTGAAGCATGGCACTGGCAGCAGAGGCTCTTTCTATTGACTGTGTCTTGGCATAAGTGGACTGCAGCTGCTCCTGATGAAGCTGTGTTGTGCTGACTGCTGTCTGACTGTAGCTGTGCATTGTTTGCTGGTGGCTCAGTCGAGTGGGAGAGGAGGCTGGGGAAGTTGAGGAGCACATGCTTGTTAGCGTGGTTTGGCTAGATGCATCTGATGCTAATGTGATGACCATAAATGGAGCTTCTTGTGATGACTGCTGCCTAGCAAGGCGAGGAAAGCTTGCACGATGGGGTGTCTGGGTCCCTTGAGCAATCATTGGAGAGGACATTGATGCACCAGTGGTAGTGGGAATATCATAGGAGAAAACTGTGCTTTGAGTTTGAGTGGAAAACTCTGCAGTTGCCTTACTGGATGGCTGCCCTGCTTTTGGAGCAGAATGAGTGGAACTTTGAGTAGGAGATGTCGGGGAAAGCAGGGGGCTGGGGCTTTGGAAGTAGGAATACATTTTAGATGACACAGGGACATTGGTCTTGCTCTCACTCTTACTTTGGAGGTTCTCTCTTTCTGATGCTCCACAGAGCTCAGCAGCAATCTGGCTCCTGGAGCCGTCCTCTGTCTGAGAGCTATAATTCACGGTACCTTTCGTCTGACTGTAGCTTCTGCTAGGGATAGATACAGGTGTTACATCTGAGCCACTCAGAGATGGAGAACTGTAGATTCGTGGAGCACTTGCTGGGCTAGAAACAACAGTTGTGACTGTGCTGAAGCCTCTGCTGTAAGTATAGGGAGCTGTCATAACCTTGGGAGCTGAGCTGGGTGCTGCCGGTGAGCTGTGAAGCTTTGGGTGATCATGCCCCTCTTTTGCAAAATGCTGAGTGACTCTAACATCAGGAATTACCCTGCCTGTGCTGTCTTCAGAGGAGGAAAATGAGACAGGAGCCGATAACTGGGTGGGGCTTGTTCCTGGTGTGAGTGGACCGCTGTTTTGCTTCATCAGATCAGCATAAGCACTCTCAGCATTCAGAAACTGCTTTTCCTGATATGTTTCTTCTCTCCCTTTCTTCTTTTTCTCCTCTTCTAGGGCCAAATCAAATGAGGAGGACTGATGCATCCTGGAAATGCTCTGTGATGTCTGCAGGATTTCCTCATACACTGCTCCTGGCTCTGAAAGTTCATGCTGAAAGTCAGATGCACAGGAGTCCATATGCCCATTATCGTAGCTGTACTCCTCTATGTACTGGTATTCAAAACTGCTCTGGCCTTCTGCACTGTGGTACCCTACCTGTTGGTAGGTGTTGCTGTAGGCGCTTTGCTGGGACTGTTGGACTTGTTGCTTTTGGAACAGTTCAGCCTTCCTCATCATCTCTTCATATGCTTCTTCAGCACTTTTCAGGGGCTTACTGGAGGGGTAATGGGAGATGCTGTTTGTTTTTTCTGTTGGGGAGTAGAGGGACATGAATGTTGGCAGGTTGTACTCACTGCCAGATTTGTACAGCTTGGAGGCTATGACATCAAAGCCCTCTGCCTCTGAATCGATGGAGGGTGAGTACTCTGAGCAGGAGGACCTGTGCAGCTCCTCCATCTCTGCTGCCTGGCGCAACTCCTCTGTGGGTGAAGCATCTTCAATGGGAGACAGGTTACTAGGTGGGGTTTTGGATCTCTCTCTCCTCCTCTGTGCCCTCAGCTCTTCTTTGTCCCGTTTAGTTTTGCGTGCAGTGCTTCGGATGCGCTGCTGCTCCACCTCTCGCATCTTCTCCTGCTCCCGCAAGAGCTCCTCTTCCTCACGCAGCTCGTCCTCCTCTGATGAATCCTCTATGGTTGGTAGCAAAGGACCATGGGAGCGATGCCGAGCTTTGCGCTGCTGCTTCACCTCTTCTAGTCGCTGCCGACGGCTAGGACTGCTGTCGCTGTCCTCCTCCAGAGATGAGAGGGAAGTAGGGGAGGTGCCCGATGTGTAGCTGGGTGTAGTTGCTGGCAAGGTGGAGGAATATTCCCCCCTTGAACGTTCCTCTGGGGAGCCCGTCAGACTCTCCATCTCCAGCTCTGGCTCTCTGTCCAGGCTAATGTCTGCATCCTGGCTAAGCTCCATGTCCCTGCTGTAGCTGCTAGTGCTATTTAACTCAATGGTCTTGAAGCGCCGCAGTCCTCCCTGGGATGTGGTTACATCCTCCCCCTCGATAACTTCCAGCTCTTTCCTCTCCTCCTCATACATACTGGTAGAGACGTGAGGCAGACGCCTCTTGGATGAGGTTGGCTCTTTGCTTTTCTCCAGGTCGGGCTTGTGCCCACTTTTTGTTACACTGTGTTTCACGTGACTGTACTCTTCTTCCTCCTCCAGATTGTCCTCTTCTGCACTCATCTCCAGGATCTGCCTCCTCATGAACTCCTCATCAGTCATCTCTGTCTCCCTGCCTTTCAGCCCGCTGGGCAGCGGGGAGACCCCTCCTTCGCTGCTGTCCTCCACATAGTCATGGCGCAGCTTGCTGCCTAAGTCGTCAGATGACTCCACACTCTCTCTTTGATCCCTCTGGTTTTCCCATTCCAGAGAGTCTTCATCTTCTTCCATGATGTCTTCCAGCTCCTCATCAGAATCAAAGGCTTCGGGGGTGATAGAAAGGGACCGAGGCCTCTGCCTCTGTCGCTGCTCTTCCCGTAACTCATGATACATTCTCCCTCTGTTGCTCTGCTCTTGGGAAATGCCCTTTGACTCCAGCAAGGGGCGCACACTACTCTCCAGTTTGGTAAGTTCAGAAGGACTGGCAGGGCTCTGGTCTTCCAGGCCAGTGCCATTCAGCTGCTCCTCTTCCTGCTGCACCAGGCCAGTGATCTCACTCTGGGAACTGGAGATGCCATCTGATGAGTAGCCAGTGTCACTCAGGCTTTGGGGGCTGCGGGACAGGTCATGGGGATAAGGCTTGCCTGTCTCCTGCAAGGAAGAGAAAAGAGATATTATACATTAGACCATGGACCCAAGGGGGGAAATGAAGTCACCTCCTGGTGGCCTGGCAGTGAAATGGGCAGGAATGTGGAGTCATACTGGTGTCAGAATTCACAGCAGGAAGCTGGAAACAACCCCTGGAGCAGGTGGCAGTGTCCTCAAAGCCCCATGGCAGGATGCAGGACAGTCCTGCATTCTAGTCCCTCTCCCCTCACATAAGGCCAAGCTCCTGAACATGTGGACAGTCCTTTCAAACAAACTGAGCAAGACAATGGACTCCTGCCAGGGGCCAGACCTCAAGGCATACAGAACTAAATGCAAGCCACAGCCTTCTCTCTTGCAGACTTAGTATGGCTTATGTATGTTGTGACTGCACACCTATTCATCATAGTGATATGATTATGGCATAATTATGATGAATTTTGCACAAGATGGGTCATGTGAGTTAGAAGAAGTTGCGAAAGTTATGAATTACTGAATGATTACCCTATTTGTGTTCATGTATCATTTTTGTATCTGAAGTTATAATTGACTATGTATCTGTATTTTAAATGTGCTTACTGTGGATGACTGTGAAGAGCTATAAGTGACAGGTTTCAGAGGAGCAGCCATGTTAGTCTGTATCCATAGCTAAAAGAAAAGGAGTACTTATGGCAAAAGGTGCCATAAGTACTCCTTTTCTTTTTATAAGTGTCACATTCTTAAGGCCATTCAGGGCTCATCTACATGACCAGTTAGTTCATGGCAAGTTGGGATGTGAATCTTCCCTGCACTAGCCTGCTGCAGTCTACCCTGTGTGTTTGGACCCTGCTGATGCACACGAATGGTTCGTTAATGTGCTTTGATTTAGCCCTCTTTGAAGCAGGACTAGATCAAAGTACATTAATGAATTGTCAGTGCACATCAGCAGGGCCACAGAACAGTCAGTATATGGCAGGCTACTGTGCAGCAGCTTTACACCCAGCTTGCTACAAACTGCCCATGTAGATAAGCCCTGAGTGGCAAGAAGAGCACAGGGCTCGGCCTTCTGGCTCCCACCAATGAGCCCAATCACCTCCTCCTCTGCTGGCTGTAACCAGTTGACAAGGGTGACTTTGGGTTTTTCCACGAACCCAGAGCTAGTAGGGAATGGGGGCAGGGGCCACGGACAACATTTCATCAGGAAATTTGGAAATGTCATTAAATTGTTTCAAAGGGCAAACATTTTGCAAACTTATAAACAGGCACACGGAGACTGAAAAGAAGCTTCAGTAGAAGGATTTCTCCTGGCTTTGTCTCAGAACAGACTCAGTGGATCATTTCCATTGTACATCAGTTTTTGCATTTCTAACGCATCCACTTCACTTTGTGTATTTTTATAAATGTTACTAATGGATAGCCTGCACCTGACCCCGTACTCCAACCCTCTCCCTGAGCTGAGTCCCAAAGAAATGTGCCTGCTGAGATCTGAGTGCAGGGCAGGGGAAATCCAAAGAGCTACCCCTGCAAGATTGGAAGGCTGTATTCTGCATTTCCAATCCCAGAGTTTAGACACCACTCCCTCAGTTTAAAGAATGTCATCTGGCTTGCCCGAGGCTGCTCTCAGGGCTCCACAAGCTTGACATGTAGTACAAACAAGGCTTCTAGCTTTGTAACCAGAAGGTGGTTTAGGCCCTTTAAAGCCGATCTGTGTCATTTTCACTGTGTTCTGCTCTCGGGCAGCCTGGAGAATTAACGCCATGGTTTACTAGGAATTTGGTTTGGTGATTGCCCAGAGCTGGTAAACAGGCCTGGTACCAACATAATTTCAATAACACTCTCCTATGTTAACTTACCAACACTTGGCCAGTACTGAGGAAGGAACAACTCATGAAGTTAGCAGTATGCATTCATGCACACACTTGTACACCAAGAATCCAGATGTGTTTGCCTGAGTACCTGGCCAGTTAGGTACCTCACTGTCTGTGGGCATGTACCAATATCTGATCTGTGTGCATGCATCTGGAACTGGCACACTCAAATATTTACGTGTGCTTAACTTTGTAACTCTGGCCTGGGATGGTCACTAGCTGCCCTCCAGGCTCTAGGAATGGGTTATAAGCAATTTATAAGAACATTAGTAAAAATACTTCCCAGATTAAACTAAAATCAGCTTTTCTAAAAGCGAACATTCTCTGGTATGTAAGAACAGTTAACACACAGTCCATCCAATATGAATATATTACAAAGGGCTACATTAACAAAAGGGGGATGGGTTACTCAACTGAACTGTAAATACATTTCAGAAACTGAGTTCTATTAATTTAGTTTCTGTATGTAAATAAATACAATCAGAATATCAGGGTTGCTAGGGACCTTAGGAGGTCATCTAGTCCAATCCCCTGCTCAAAGCAGGACCAATCCCCAACTAAATCATCCCAGCCAGGCCTTTGTCAAGCCTGACCTTAAAAACCTCTAAGGAAGGAGATTCCACCACCTCCCTAGGTAACCCATTCCACTGCTTCACCACCCTCCTAGTGAACACGTTTTTCCTAATATCCAACCTAAACCTCCCCCACTGCAACTTGAGATCATTACTCCTTGTTCTGTCATCTGCTACCACTGAGAACAGTCTAGATCCATCCTCTTTGGAACCCCCTTCCAAGTAGTTGAAAGCAGCTGTCAAATCCCCCCTCATTCTTCTCTTCTGTAGACTAAATAATCCCAGTTCCCTCAGCCTCTCCTCATAAATCATGTGCTTCAGCCCCTTAATAATTTTTGTTGCTCTCTGCTGGACTCTTTCCAATTTGTCCACATCCTTCTTGTAGTGTGGGGCCCAAAATGGGACACAGTATTCCAGATGAGGCCTCACCAATGCCAAATAGAGGGGAATGATCACATTCCTAGATTTGCTGGCAATGCTCTTACTTATACAGCCCAAAATGCCATTGGCCTTCTTGGCAACAAGGGCACACTGTTGACTCATATCCAGCTTCTCGTCCACAGACCCCTAGGTCCTTTTCTGCAGAACTGCTGCCTAGCCATTCGGTCCCTAGTGTGAAGCAGTGCATTGGATTCTTCCGTCCTAAGTGCAGGACTCTGCACTTGTCCTTGTTAAACCTCATCAGATTTCTTTTGGCCCAATCCTCCAATTTGTCTAGGTCCCTCTGTATCCTATCCCTACCCTCCAGCGTATCTACCACTCCTCCCAGTTTAGTGTCATCTGCAAACTTGCTGAGGGTGCAATCCACACCATCCTCCAGATCATTTATGAAGATATTGAACAAAACCGGCCCCATGACCGACCCTTGGGGCACTCCGCTTGATACTGGCTGCCAACTAGACATGGAGCCATTGATCACTACCCATTGAGCCCGACGATCTAGCCAACTTTCTACCCACCTTATAGTCCATTCATCCAGTGCATACGTCTTTAACTTGCTGGCAAGAATACTGTGGGAGACCATATCATAAGCTTTGCTAAAGTCAAGGAATAACACGTCCACTGCTTTCCCCTCATCCACCAAGCCAGTTATCTCATCATAGAAGGCAATTAGATTAGTCAGGCATGACTTGCCCTTGGTGAATCCATGCTGACTGTTCCTGATCACTTTCCTCTCCTCTAAGTGCTTCAAAATTGATTCCTTGAGGACCTGTTCCATAAATTTTCCAGGAACTGAGGTGAGGCTGACTGGCCTGTAGTTCCCTGGATCCTCCTCCTTCCCTTTCTTAAAGATGGGCATTACATTAGCCTTTTTACAGTCATCCAGGACCTCCCCCGATTGCCATGAGTTTTCAAAGATCATGGCCAATGGCTATTATAATACTAGGAAACTTTCTAGTCACCTGGAGGAGTTCTGAGGAAGAGTTCCAGGTCAACTGTCTCCAAATGGTCTACACACATGGCAAACAACCACAACTTGAGGGGGAACAGGGAGCGCTTTGGGTTAGTGTGTAAGTGTTCTCCAGATAGAAAGCTGGATACAAACCCTGTCTCAGGTCACATGTATGGGGATTACAGTCCTCCGTAGGTGTTTATGCACATCATAAAACTCCCACATAATTTAGCAAGATCAGGCCTCTCTCTTCCGAGCAGGCCTCTAATTGGAGGAGCACAGGGTGTCAGAGCCTAAGGCTGGAAATGGGGAGGGGGGGAGGGAGGCAGCAGGCCAGGATGACAGGGCATCAGCAAGGCTTCCTTGTGAGGGGAAATGCTGCCCTGACCTGCTGGCATCAACCCTGGCTATGGACCAAGTGCTATTGGCTTGATGCTTTTATGAGCATTAAATCAGAGCCATTCAAAACTGGAAGCGTTTCCTCCCCCCTGAAATAAATCGCCTCTTCATATGCAATTATTTCGAATGCTCCAGGAGTTCCTTGAGGGCAGCTGCCGTAACCCTGATTTTGGGCCTCACACAAATGATACACTCTGAAAGGACCCCCCCCATCACCCAGGGGTCTCCTTTTCCCCAAGGCTGGCTGTGGCTCCCCCCACGGCCTGTCTACCTGAGATATTAGCTCTCTCTCTAGAGGGCTGCCTATGTTCAAGGTGGCGTTAGGGCTTCTCCTGCCCTGGGGACTCAGCAATAATTTAACAATACCTTCCTATAGCTGACAGAGAGGAGCAGGACAGTCCTGACCCCTGGGCCAGCTGTGTTGTTACATACAATTTCTGGTACTGCTGGGGCCAGTCCCACCTGCTCTCCTTCTTTGTCAGTGCCTGATGATGGACATTTTCTTTGTCTGACAAAGATAGTATTTTGCCTGTAATACAAACCCTGCCTCCCTTCTTCATGCCAAACTCCCTAGAGCTGCAAATGGTCCAAAAGGCCATTTGATAAATTCAACTGCTGCTCAGCTGAGTGCTGTGTTTATCAGTAAACTCTGCGGTAGCTGCAAGCCCAGCCTCAGAACTGAACTTTTTAATCTTCAAATAGAACTTGGAGAACCTGTAATTAGATCTGAGTTCAGGAAGGGACTAGTTCTGCTGTCCTGCAAAGTGAGAGGTTGAAGATCTCTGTTCTTGTGCC